GTGCCTGAGCTGCAAGTTGTTGTCACACATAAAGAAGTTGGAAGGATATCCATTCTATTAGGATGTATGCTCGTACACGATTATTCCCATATCAGTATCCTTTTTGTTAATTAAATGGGAATAAATAACGTAATAGCGTTTATTTACAGATGTTTCACAGTTGCGACAAGTTAATGAATTAACCAAAGTTAGGTGGGGCAAAATCCGGTATACAATCAGGATGCGACTTGTTTATTTTCCATAATGCACCGGCAGGTTATCGCATTCTGGCAGAATAGATGCCGCACATGAATGCTGTCAAATTCCATGATACAGCGAGGCTGACAACGTATGCAAGTACGGCGAAAGTGGCTGGGTAGAGGAATACATGAGCATTCCGGACGAATGGGAGTGCTGAAAATAATAAATTTAAGCATTTTTGGTCATGGTATATCGCATAAAATGGGTGCCCTCTGTCTTTAACCGTATTGCGGGGAGTCCGGTTCGGGTAATGAAAGTCGGGATCTACAAGCTATTCTTTATTTGGAACTCATTGAGTGGAGCCCCGGCTAAAGTTCTAATTATGTGAGCAGGCTAAATGTTAAAGCATAACTGGCCGGATAATAGTCGTCCGGGGATAAATTACTGTGTAGTATTTCAAGGACTAGTTGGCTACGCGGGGCTTCCAAGGTTATGCTTGACCGACGATGATACCAACGCACGGCACTTGTCTATGTAGTGCCAATCACAATTAACAAATTAGGGATATCCATGTTTCATAATTTTTCAGCTAGAATTAATGAACAAGGCGGTATTAAAGTGACTTACTGTTAAAACCAAGAAAGACTATGTAGAGGTAGTACAGACAGGATACCAGCCAGAATGTGTTCCCGATTATGAGAAAGGCAAGCCAGTCCCGATAAATGACATCTGATAGAATAAAAGAAGAATTAAAATCGATCTATGCAAGTCCACCTGGATTAAAAGCACTTACGGTACACGAAAGGAAGTTGGAAGATATGGATGGTGGTAAATGCAGGCAGGTAGGCGTTTATATGTACATCAAGTGCGTAGGCCCATTCAACCTTCAGTGGCTCCTGGTCCTCAAGCGAGACAGGGGTCCTCTTGCTGTAAGTCCGGCGAGGTGAACTGTTGTTTTTCTCTTCCGCTTGATACATCAGCATCCAGTGATTGACAGCGACCCATAATATCGTAGCGATAAGACATGCAACCCCAATAAAGTCGAATAGTAGAGTCCAGGCCACTAGTCTTAGGGTCCCCTGGAGATCGAAACCGAGAATCAACGAGAAGGCTATTGAAGAAACTTGGAAAAATAAATGTCACGGATGAGCCAACTTACTGAAACAAATTTCCTAAATTAGTGCATTCCGGTATGATGATTTCTAGCGTCAAAAGAATAATAATCAAAGCAACTACCCAAGGAGTTAACACATGAAGAATGTGTTTTCACCTCATGCAGGCAGGCACCATTTGGATTAAGCGGTCGCAAGCCGTTCATATCCTTTGTAGTCTCATTCTGTGTTTTCTCATAGTGAGGTATGCTCACATCAAATAATGTAATTATTTGGGCCGTATCGTAGAGCAGAGCAAATTTTTCCAGCCTGTACATGTAGTAACTACAAGGGACCTTGCCATTTGTGAACATAGCCCTCGCACAAATAAAAACCTCAAGCGACCAGTCAATTTAGCTGACAGAAGTGAATCCTGTCGAAGCATGGCTTAATCTCCCAAGCAGGATGTTAGAAGAGTAAGGATATCTAGAAATGGATAATTCAGATAGTGCACGTCAATATGCGAAGATGGTGGGGAAAGGAATGCAGTATTTATTGCAGTTTTAATGTTTCTCCAAGAGGAATCACAAATAAAGAATCATACTGCGCAGAGATAGAACGACTTCGAAGGTATAAAGGCCAGGATGGTGTGACCCTTTGTATGGTCGTGGCCTTCTTTCGTTGTATATAGATTGTATGACCTTGTTTTCGCAACTTGGTCGTATTATCATGAAGACGTAGAGGAACGCACCTTGTCTGGAGTCCATAGTGTGCATGATAATTTCCAGGGTCGGACAATGAACTTGGTACATTCCCAAACGTTTCGCCGGCATCGTCAGTGAGTCTTGCCAGTCTCAGCAACCAAGCTAAAACTTGTGGCATGACTCTCGATATCGAAGGAAGATTGGTTGGAAGGAATTAATGATCTGGTATCATCAGAAACCGAAGGAAGATTGTTATGTAAGGAAGACTTCTGAATTGTGTTAAGAAGTCATTTGCCCACCGTCCTGTGACCCCGAGGAAGGTGTTCCAAGCTTTCGTCTATACCGCCGTGATAGACATCATCAGAGCCAGAGTCCATAACTTACGAAATATAGCAAAAATATACCAAACCAAGAGGTGGC